CGTATGTAATTTTATATTTTTATTTGTCATATATTGTGGATTTTGTAATTGGAGAGTTTTAGGACACATACCATACTTTTATAAATTTGGGTATTCTGGTTTACTTTTTGATTTCTTTTTCCTTTCAAGATTTAATGAATTATTATTGGGTTAGGGAAATCATTTTATTTAAAACCCTTTTGATGTTGTTTCTTACCTCCTCGTGGAAAATTGTGTCACTTAACTCTAATGCTTTTATAGCCATATTTTTAGCAGTGTTCCTTATTACATGGTGGGGGTGTTTTGAATTGGAGTTTATAATTCGTCCAGAGGCTGTTGGTTTTTGATACCATTTTGTCATTATGCGATTATTGTTTTGTAATAAATGGATATCTAAATATGGTAACTGGATATGTTTTTTTTTCTATGGTGAATTTGATACTTTTGTGGAAGTCATTGAATATTATTAAAGTATCATTGATGCTATCTGTTCTTACAAGAAAAGAATTAACAAAATTATTTTTAATAAGCAATAAGCTTTAGTAAGCAAAGCTTTTAGTTTCTATACTTTTTTGACTTTTTGTTTAAAACGGAACTGAATAAGGTATTATAGGGTTACTTAATCCCAAAAGAACTTTTGGTCGCAATACTTCATGCATCACATATGTAAATCACATTTTTATATATATATTTGCAATATCTCTGTAAAACATCATTATTCTTGTATATGTTTATATGTATGTATATTTAATTAATTTGTTTTTTATTATCCCAGCTACTACTTGTGAAAATTAACATAGATTTTGTTACTAAAATGGATGTAAACAATTTTAAATATCATTTATGTATGAATGAGGTAAGTTAAACCATTTGCATATTTGAAATTTTATAATATTGAAAATATATTAATTTTATTTTATTTAAATATTTTTTAATTAAATTATTTTTGTTTTACTACATATTTTCATTTTAAAAGTTACTTCCTCATATGGACCGTTTCTACATATACAGAAAGTTTGAAGAACAAGGGTATTCTTTATTAGCAGTACGTGTGATTACCAGTTCTTTCACAAATAAACCGCTCCATTGTTATATACAGTTTAAATCGACTGAAGCAGCGCTCGAATGTCTTTATACTCTCGATGATAAGCCAATACCAGGCGAGGGCCCTGATATAAGTTTCTGCTTAGATGTGGCAAATGAATTGGTTAAAGATACTCGTCCTTATTATGGTGTTTGGCTTGGTAATCTTAGCGGAGATACGACAAATATTGATATAAAGAAAGCATTCGCTGCCAATAATATTAATGTGAAGCGTGCATTTGTAATTAGAGATCGATTGAGCAATTCGAGAGGCTACGCGTTTGTTCAGTTTTATACTGAATGGGAGCAAAAAAATTCCATATTCAAAATGAATAACTACATAGGTTTGGGTGGATCTATACCGCTTTTGGTCCGTGATTCTACTGGTCCAAAATTCAAAAAATTTAAACCCCCGCAAAAGAACTCTTTTGTAATTAGAATTTTTAATTTAAACTTACATCAATATGAAAGGGAAATAAATGAGTTTTTCAAACAAAATTTGCCCTCCTTTCGATTTATAACTCGTCCACGGTATGCAGATAAAACACCCAAAAACTACAATATCGTAGTGTTTGGAGATGAAGTCGATTGTATAAGAGCGGTAGAAATGCTTAATGGAAAACAATTTTTTGGTTCCAGTTATTTGATAGCCGTAATTCCAACCGTAAACTCGAACGATATACACCAAAGTGTGTCAGACGATGAAAATGATCAATACAAAGATAAAACTATTTTAAATTGGAAACAATATAATGCTGTTTCCTTTAAAGCAAAAGAATTAAATAACCATACAGATAAAGTTGATAAAGATAAAGTTGATGTTACCAATGATAGTGATCTCATTAAAAATACAATATTAAAAACTGAAGGTAATTTAAGTTTAAAATTGTTTTTATATTTATTTTTAATAGCTTAAACTAAAACTTTTTTAATACTCAACAGAAATTAATGATTCTGGAGATGCAGTAAACAGCGGACCCGGAACCGCTAGCAGCCTCATTGAAAGAATTTCAAATGCTTTCAATAGTATATTTAATGTATTTTTTTGAATACTATACAATTCGAAAAACAAGACTAATATATTCACCTAAAATTTAATATAAATATATAAGTTTTTATAATTATATTCTTCAAGATTCTAAAAAATAATCAAAAAAGAAACATCGTACAATTATATTTCAAATTTAAAATATATTATAGTATATTAAATATATTAGATCTGTTATCTATGCAAAAAGCATAGATAGGTCTTTAAGGATAAGTAAAATTTTACATAGACCACTTTTGCTTTTAAGATTGATAATTAATTTTAAGATAGTCTGTTACTAAGTAAAGTGTATCGTTTGACAATATATTTTAAATTCAAGGACGATGGCTTCTAACTTCTTCTTTACAACTTTATGTTCCATTCTTCAAAGTCATTAAATTAATCTTTTCGTTTTACAACATAATCATTTTTCCACAACGTGTTTTTGACGCAATTTAAGTATAATATTTAAAATCTTTTATATATTTTGTTTTCAATGTGCATCAATCAATTCAAATCCAGTACTCCTGAACGACAGTTCAAAGAGTTTCCACAAAGAATTACATCTGGTCCGAAATATGTTTAATGGATGGTATTTACTGTATTGTTTTTAAACTTAAATTCAGTCTCAACAAAAATGATGTGAAAAGGGGGAACATTGTTAGTTACACTGGAGAACAGTTATTATATTTAATAATATTAATATAAATATTTTAGCATAAATCATAAAGAATGCTAAAGGTATCGCACATTCTGTAAATAAATGAAGGTTAATCCCAGAAAAAATATTTATAATTATAATCCAATACATACCACATATAAAACACGACATAAAACACGTTTAATTGATTAAATCGTTAAAAAAAGAACGAAGAGAACAATCACCTACAGCGCAAATAATATTTACTTACGAGCATACTTATGCAATACGCAAATAGAACCATCTCTTCTCATTCCATATGTCTAGCTTTTTCTACCTGTCATAATTTCATTGATTTCTATTACTGCATAAATAACATCAGTGACGTTGACTATAAGCAAGACATTGTTTTCTTTCATACGGTTCTTCGTGGTCGCCTAACAGCAAAGTTCTCAACAGTTCTCCATCTGTATTACATTTCTAATATGTGCCCAACTGCAGTTCTCTACTCCACATAACGTCGTATATCTCTTGAAACACGCACACAACTCTGAATCTTACATATTTATGGCTTCATACTATTGATATCGTAAAATTTTTTCAACTGAATACAGATTAGATTCAAAACTTCCATCCATTTCAACATCCTGACTCCACGCTTGTTTTGTACTTCACGTTATTTCCACCACTGGATCCTGATTTGCTGTGTCTTGTCTAGACTATCCTAGTCCATTGTGATAGTTTTCTTAAACTTTACAAGTGGCCATAGGTGGCAAAAATAAAAAGCAATTGCAGGCATAAGAACTTTTGACAAGAAAAACTAGAAACTGAGAGTGGAAAAATAGAAATATGAAAGAGATGGCAACAAAAATGTAGAGGAGTCAATATCAAACGTATGTTATACCACAGTCCCACTATATATGTCAATTAAAATCAGTACGTTTACTTAAGAGAATACAAAGTTAGAAGAATATTTTTTCGCACCTTATCGCTACTTTTATACCATATAAGAATTAATTTTAAACGCATAATCATAATAAATGATTTACATAATTTATTATAAAATGTTAGGTTTTTTCTTTGTTAAATACTAAAATTATTGTACATATTTTTTATCTTTTTTTGCTTAAATTAAAAAGTGAATTTTTGTTATAATATTATTAATTGGCTTTTTAATAATATATTTTGTATTATTGTAAGTTATCTAAGCTTCTTGTTAATAATTATTATAAAACGCCGATATTTTTATTAAATACAACAATATTAAAACAAAATTTCCTTGATTTTGACCTCAAATATTAAACTTAGTTATTATTAATTATTATTATAAATATTAAGTTGTTTTCATAAAATTATTTAATATATATATAAATAAAAATATTACATTCACATATTTTATTATACTCTAATAAAATTTGAGGCCATATATGCATATATATATATTTATTTCATTTTGTTTTTATTTGTTAAAAAAATTCTAGTGTATTTAGTTTATATCAAACTCAAAATTAAATCATTGTTATGTTCATAATTAATTCAAAATTAATATAAATGAAATAAAAACAACTATTATATATGTGTTTATAGAAATAATAATTATATTAATATCTAAAGCATTTATCACTGCATAATTTACAAATAAGTTTTTTATAAATAAAAATTATTATAGTTTCATTAATAATTGTGTGTTATTTCTTTTTAAAAAGTTACATACGATTGTCCATTCTATTTTACGCAAATTTTGTTCATCTTAATTTACATAATAAATAAAATTATAAATATTAATTTAGTTAAAATAATTTTACTAAACTTAGTATAGTTACTTTAAAGAAAGAGACTTGTATTAGTTAATTATTATATAAACAATCTTAAAAATGTATCAACAATTTAAAATACAATTTTAATTTCTTAAAAACACAATTATTTTGATTTCATCGATTAAACCTTTTTTTTGTCTCAAGACAACGACAATACAAAGTAACAAAACATATATATAATTAATTATTTTATTTATTATTTTAGCTTAAATAATAAATTGAGATTATTTGTTTTTTCTTTGCGTATTCATATACTAATCCTATCTAAAATTTTGCATAATTTTCGTTAAAACTAATCAATTTCAATCTATCAATTTTTTTTATTGCTTTTTCAACACATAACATACATACTTTTCTATTTCTTATAAATAATTTACTTATTAACATTTTAAAATCATAAAAAATATAAAAGTTAAACAAATTAAATTCAAAAATACAATTAAGTTATTTTTTGATTGTTTGCTTTTATTATTGTTCTGCATTATCTATTAGTTTTATTCATTTTATTTACGATCTATGGACTTTACTTCTAACAACTGCGGATAATTCTCAACAATATTCAGCAGAATTGTATCGATGTAGTGCTTGAGACGTGTGTTTTCATCTTCTTTTTCTTGGTAAGCTTGTTGTAACTAAAATAAAAAAGAAAATAAATTATTATACATTGTATATACCAATATAACTTATTTAAAGATAAATGCGGATCCGGATATTAGGAATCAAAAAATATATATTTATGTATGTAATAAAAATATAGATAAGATATAACCCCTAAAACTTCCATGCAAAAAGAAGTTGAAGTAAGTAAATATGTTATAAACCATATATTACAATATACACAAAGAGCTTATCTGTTATATATAAAAATCTATATAAAATATATAACATAGATAATATAATTTTTAAAATTTCGCTACATACATTTCTTTTTTATTCTTAATTTATATAAAATTAGTTATATTTTTTAATTGAAACGAATTCATTCAGTGAAACTTTTGGATAATTGTTATCTGTAATTACAGTCTTCTTTTTCTTCTCCTAGTCTTTTGTTCTCCCGTATATTGAAAGCCTATTATTCGTTACAGTGCGCCATTTCTTCAAACTTGCTTTATATCTTTTTCTTTATTCATCGTTTTCTATAGTAAAGCTCTTAATTGATGCACACATCGAGTATAAATTTAAGTAATTAATTTACTAAACAAAAAATTTTGTAGATTTATTGTAATTGTTGATTTCATCATATAACATCCTTAGTTATCCCTACGGGAGAGAACTTAGAATATTCTCGAGATATAGTATACATGTAGCAAGAGGCAAATTAAATCTAGTAAGTACCACCGGAAACCGTTTGGAGTAGAAATGGTGTAGTAAGTGATTTCAATTGCGACACCCGACCATAGGTGTAAATCTAGTACCATGAGGATCAGGGACCACACCCTAAGCTGTACTTGCCAATAGAGGTTACAAAAGGGGGTAACGGGAGTATCGTAGTGTTTAGGTTTTAAACCCAAAATTATGCAGGTAGAATGACTATATATATTATTTTTATTCGATGTGTTGCACTTTTTATCCAGATGCTTAGATCCAAAGCACATTAGAAGTATTAGAAGATTTCAAGAACAGTCGAGTCTACATCCCGCAGGCACTTGTCAATCTCTAGGATTAAGTGCCATTCAACGTTATCCAATGGGATTTTACAAGCAGGTCCCAACGGGTGACCACAACAACAGAGGTGTAAGAAAGGTCTCGCTTTTTTCCAAGAAATGAAAGTATATCCAAAGGTACCGACGGAATTTCTTAGATGAGATAATTTTTTGGTCGTAATGTGATTCTATATTTACTGACCAGTAGGATAAAATTTCTCATAGTAAATTATATTATTAGAGTGACATCTGCACATCGTGTTACGTCTAATTTTCAGTAACCAGGTGTATTCATTTACGAAAGACAACTGATATTCCTGTTTCTAATCTGATGAACTGCAACTGTATTAATAGCCGTCGTAATTTTACGTGTGATTTTACTGTTTATATTTCCTTAAATGATTTAAAGTTAACTTTACTAATATTGGTCTGTTTAATCTCATCAATATAAAATAAAGATAATTAGTTGAATATTATTAAAAAAAATTTTTAAATACCATAAATCTCTAATAAGATTTATTAGATTATCTAATGTAATTTTAATTAAAATCATTTATATTCATATTTAATATTTATATTATTTATATCAATATCTAAATTTATGTTTATATTTATATTCATTAAATTTGATTTTAACGTCAATATGACAGAAGTGATTATCTTTTACTTTAACAGAAACTGTAATATTGATTAGAGGAGTTTCGAACAGTGGTGACCCACAACAATGACTTTGGGTCAGTTAATTAAGGAGCGCTGACTCTGTGCTTCAAATTTAGCAGGGCACGAATTCGATTTCTGGTGTTTGCAGTCTCAAAAAAAAAATTTACGAATAATTAAATACAATAATTATTTTAAAGATCACTGATGATGGTATATGGCAGTACTTAAAACAGCTGTATGATCAGTCAAAAATTCAATTAATTAAAGTAATATAAAAATAATTCTTGTTTTTGTAGCTCACTATTTTCGAAACTTCTCTATTTATATTTATATTAATTATTTATATTTATATTTACATTTTTATTATTTTACATATTTATATTTACATTTAAATTATAACCTATTACTTTTTGAGGAAATCTATTTAAATTTTTATCAAATATTAAGATTATATACATTATATATTAAATTTTTATCAAATATAAATGTTAAAAAAGATTATATACATTATATATTAAATTTTTATCAAATATAAATGTTAAAAAACATTGATGCAATGATGTGTATGTGTAATGTGTCAATAATATAAATTAATGAGAAGCATGAGTGTAGGTAGAAACATATATTTTTCAAAGCAGAGTATAATTTCATTTTGACTTAAAAACTATTAAGCAATAAATATAATGTAAAAATATACATTTAACTTAATTTTATTTGTGCATTTACAATAAATAAAAGAAAATCATACAAGAAAGCCATTAAAGACCCTAAACCGTGTTTAATAAACCAAAAAACCAAGAGTTAATTGCATATTCGTCAGGATACTCATTGACCAAGCCGAAAGGATAAGGTAAGGTAATTTGCAATATATTTTATAAATAATTATTAATTATTGTTATTTTTTACAACAGCAACAAATATTGTAAAATTTACCTGGCTTAATGATGCTAAAGTAGCTGAATCCACAGAATCCTGTAACATATAAACGCAGCGCGAAGAATAGAAAATACAAAAGAATAAAATATTACAAATATTGTTTAATAACTAAATATATTATATATATATTTTTTTATATATAATATACTCTATAAAAGAGAACTATATACTGCGATAATATAAATTAGGTAAGTAAGTATGTTTTTAAGATTAGAAAGCAAAAAGCAAATTTTAAGATAAACCAGAACATCCACGAGTGCAATTTTGTCCGCATTTTATTGAAATTTTATCGCTTAATTATAAAAGTCATGTGTACTCTGAAGCCCCGCTTAAATAATGGTGAACACAAAACAGTGACACAATGTGGGTGCTTTATATGGTATGAAATAGCTTACCACTTTTTAAGTTTGTGTGGTAGATATAT